TGTTGATATAGTGAGAAGAACTCACCTCACACTGCTGAAGTCTCGCAGACAAAACCCTAGCTGTTGGATGACAGATTCCCGAACTGTCAACATCAAACAACACCCAATTAATAATCGGGTTCCAATACATAACCATAAGTCCATGCTTGGGGTAAAAGACTATTTTACCCCCAACCTAGCTTGATTCAAGCCCAAGGCCCAAACTAACACTCCAAAGGCCCAAAAGTCAACCAATGGACCAAAGCCCAAAATATGGCCCAATTTTCCAAATTGGGCCCAAACCCTTCACAGGGGCCTTACCTTAAGGCCCAACCATCTATTCTGGTCCAACACTTGGTATTCCAATGGTCCAATATCTCATAATCATAAAGGCCCAGTTACGATCCACCTATGGCCCAATTTTCCAAATTGGGCCCAAGGCTTTCCAATGGGCCTTATCCTAAAGCTCATCCAAATATTATAGTCCATATACTTGTTCTTGGATAGCCCATCAATAGCCCAATCACCAAAGCCCAATAGAAAGGCCCAACTCAAGGTCCAAGCAAAATTAGGGTTTTCACATAAAATGACGATTAGGGTTAAGTGTTTCTTACTTAACCCATGAAGGACTTAATCCATTAAGTCCATCACTATACTAGATAAATCATACGGTGTGATTGGCTGTAACTAATAATTCAATTCCAATGGCCCAAAACGCGAGTCCCGATAAGCCCAAACCAACAAATCCAAAATTAAGGTTTTCTAAACCCTAATTAGGGTTTCCAACCCAATCGCGCGCCCATTAGTCAAATGGTTAGGTTTTTAGGTCAATTAGGGCTTCATTAGGTCAATTAGGATTAAATAAGTCGGGTACCACCCACTACCACCTCGGGTAGTGGCGGTCAACGACGACTCACGGTGGCGGCCACCACCTCGTGGTGGTGGTTATAAATTTTAAACTAAATATGTCCAAGAATCTAAACTAACAATCCAATTACAAAATGCACACCGCCACCCAAGACGGTGGTTAGTGGCGGCAGCCACCACCTCACGGTGATGGTTATGGGTTTTACCTTGATTATTCTGGCCACGATACAATGATACAACATCCATACAACAAATATCCAAAATAAACACACATATAATAAAACAGACACACACACACACACACACACACACAGCCGCCCTTGTGGCAACAAGCGGTGTTCAGAGGTCCTAGCCACCACCTCACGGTGGTGGTGGTGGTGGCTCTCTTGTGATTTTCGGCCAAGTAACCACACACACATGCTCTTCTGTTCGTAAATGAGTACACCCACCCACCTGGTGGTGTACGGCGGCGGCGGTGACACAAGAAGGCGGGTAGCAGTAGCGATCGGTCGACAATGCAACGTCATCGGCGACAGCCACCATGGCCGGCTGCCATGGTGGTTCTTCATGACTTCTACTCGACAGGAAGCCCACACACACGCGCATCTGCATCGCAAACCACGAACGTTGCCACCATTTCCCGATGACATTCGGCAGACGAAGGGCGTCAGTGGGGTTAAGCAGCCTCTAGACGGCAACGGTGATGCAACCATCGGGAAAGAAATGAAGAGAGGAGAAGGTGGTGCGAACGCACCGAGTACAACAGCAACAACAATCTTCGTCGGCAACCATGATCCACCGTGGTCTTGGTTGATCGGAACAACAAGGGGGTCGGGTGGTGGATGAGGCCTCACATAGCGGTGACTGAAGAAGGATAAGGAGAAGAACGGTGGAAGTCTGGTGGTCGTTGTGGCCGTTCGCTGATTGGAATCGGGTATGGTGGCGGCGCCAGTGGGGGAGACATAAAGGTGGCGGTTGGTGCTAGGGTTAGGGTTATGGAGGGCTTGACGGATATATACCCCGCCCCATAAGACGTTATCCCATAATGACAGAAATGGCCCCTCATTCTCTTTTTTTTTTCAACTTAAGTCTGAATGTTACCAAATGGCCCCTCCTCTACAAAACCTTTTCAACTTAGGTCCAGAATTTACTCTTTAACCCTTGCTTCCATAAATCCTTTCATGTTAAGTCCAAATGATACCAAATACCCCCTGGCTTCTGAAAATCGTTACAAAATAAGTCCCGAAATTACACTTTAACCCCCCGAAGATTCGAATTTTATCATTTGGCTCCCCGAAACCAACATCCCGCTAATTATTATTTGATTTTGGCTACAATAATATAAAATAATAATAAAAATTACTTCTCGGGGTTCCGAGTGTATTATTTAATTGTTCTATTTTAAACGGAATGTTACACATGGTCTAAAAACCCTAAAACTTGACTAATGGTCAAAGTCAACGAAAATCAACACTCAGTACGTACGGTGAGCGTACAACTCTTTACGCTAGGCGTACAACAGGGTCATCACTCATCGGGGAAGGATTAGGCTACGCTGCGTGTAGCCAGGAGTACCCCCGACGTACTCCATCAGCCTCTAATTCCACTAAGTTGGTGTCTTAATCCTTTAAGACAACCAAACCAACCACAAATCTGACTAATTTAAGACCTCTTAATCCATAAAGTCGTGGGCTTTAAACCATTGCATGGCAAGGAAAGGCTCAAAGCATCACTTCATCCATTCTAACCTACTTTACTCATGCATGAGCCAAAGGGGAAGATCAAGCAAGCATTTTTATGAATCTAAATGTCCTAATATGCATAAAAGGACAACTTAAACCCTCTAGAGAGTCCCAAACTCATAAAGGTCCAAACTTGGGGACTTTTAGCTCATAAATCTTAAACCAAAGAGATCTAGAACAACACTTGTCAAGGTATAAACTTTAAACTTGAAAATGATGCACAAAGGTGGGAAGTTTCCGGATCTTCAAGCTTGCTAGCATCTTCTTCTTCTTTTTCTCTAACCTCCTTCTTCTACTACAAGAGCCAAGAACACTCAAAACTTGCAATAACACATACATACAAGCCACTCACACGAGATTAGGGTTTATGGGAGGGTTGGAGATTGATAAGGGTGGCCAGAAATGAAGAAATGATGTTCTTTAAATAGGACAACCCTTAAAATTAGGGTTTTACATCTGGGCTAGTACGCCCAGCGTACCACATGTGTGCCCAACGTACTAGCTGACCCTTCGTGTCCATGCATGTTGCATGCGTACGCTGTGCATACTCATATGTACGCCCCGTGTACAACCACTTTTGCAAGCCTTTTTCTATGAGAGACCAAATGTGACACTTTTAATAAAGATTCAAGAAATGATAACATGTACCTTATTTCGGGATGTTACACATGTTCGACAAAACTAGCTAAAAGCTGCTAGCTGGAAGTCGTAACTTTTATTTGTATATGGGTGTTCGGCAAAAATAGCTGAAAGTTTTTAAGACATGAAATTACATAAAATGATTTTTGTAAAACACATCATTAATTAAAAAAAAAGGTAATTAAGTCGATTAGCAAAATTATAAAAGAGTTTTTGTTAAACACTATTTAAAGTAGCTTTTGGATTCATAGTTTTTGTTTTACCTAAAAGCCAGAAACTCCTATCATCAGATGATTTTTTTTTTCGAATTTTTTCTTAAAAATTAAAAACTAAGCCTCCACAAATACCATCAAAGACTTATAACAAGTAGCTTGTCACTTTTCATTAGTTGAATCTAATGTTTAAAAGGCAGATACCATTCTCGGTGAGCACCTAAACAAATCCTACCATGCTATAACAATTGAGATAATGACAATAGTACCCTCTCAAGAAAGATTTATCGTCTCGAATTCCAAGCCGAAACTGAGAAAATGGGCCGGTCTTGCCAACAAATGACCACACACCCATTTCTTTCTTTAATCCTACAACCATTACAACTACTTCCGTGAATCAATCTTTGAGCAAGTAGCAACCCATAATAGCTTAATGTAACAGGCCCAAAGCCCATTAAAGTAAGCCTTTGAATCCACTTATCGAGCTTTTCATGCCTTTCGATTCTCTCCTCCCCATCGCACGCTATAATGTTCTTGATCTCCTCCCCGAACATTTTCTCGATTTTTAATCTTTCCGGTGATGTTCTTGGCAAAGTGGACTCTGAGCAGTCGAAAAGGGCGGCGTAAAAGTACAACGATTCGGATAGTCGCTCCATTAGATCCGATTGGTTGTGGTCGGATTCTTGTTCGGCCACCACCATTATTTTGGGGGATAAACCCCATAAACGGTTGAGGAATCGGTCTAACTTCGTGGAAGAAACGGTACAAGATGTGAACGAATCTTCGGTCTTGGAAATGGGTGGTGATTTTCGTGCAGTTTTATCTATTTTTGTTAACATTAAGTGGAATTGAAGAATCGAGCTGATTGCTAACGCTTCGCCGGTTTTGATTTTCAGTCTATCGATGTCGAGATCGTCGAGCTTGGTCACGATTGGATTGAACTGAAACGGGATATCGAGTTTTTCAGCTTCTTCGGTTAATGTGCTGGCCATATGGTGTAGAACCTTTTTCTGGTGATGGATTCCGGTGATTCTTAAATGCGGAGGCCCTCCTGGACGTCCGGCGAACTCATGGAGGAGTGCACGCCACTGAGTGGGTTCTACCGCGTTAAGATCGACGACATGAATCATTTTCTCTCCTTCCATGGCTTCGATTATCGTTTGGTTTGCGATAACAAATGCGATTTTCAAAAACGGAAAGCAATCGAAGAACGATTTCCTGAAGAGAATGTCGTCGTTTCCTGTGGAGATTTTGGTCGAATGAAGGGCTTTGTAGAGTCCAGGCCATGATTTGAGGATTCGATTAGCGAGAGCTTCCGCAAAATACGACGCGATTCTCTGCATCGTGTCGCCTTCAGGAGAAGCGAGGTGGGAGATTTGATCCAGGACGAGATTAGCATGATCGAAGTTCCCGGAGGTTACGTAGGTTGCACATGTGAGCAGTAGATGAATCAAACGCAGACCTCTTTCCTCTGATTTAAGCTCTTTCAGCCATGGATATGGTGTTGTTCGTAATTGACATGAAGCAGCCATTGACGGAAAAATTTGGTTTGGTGTGGAAGTCACAGAAGATGACCCATCATCTTGAAACATCGGGCCTTCCAGGTGTTCGACGATTGAACTGGGAGCCAAACCGATGGAAAAACAAAAGAAACAAGAACTGAACTATCAGAAGAAATATGGTGAAGAAGAACTGATGAAGCAATGTAGAAAACAGAAATTCCTTGAAGGGTTTTCAAATTCACAAAAAACCCAATTAGGTTCGGTCTGAACTGAAATCTGAGTTGTTTTGTAGAGAGAGAAAGTGGGGAGCAGTTGGCAATTGAATCAGGCGTTTCTGTTCTTGATTCAAAAGAAACAGATAGAAAGTAGACAAATGGCGTGAGAGCTATTCCTGTTCTTGTCGTTACAATTTGGATTGGTGTCATTTAGTGTTGCAGAGGAATATGGAATTTGTGAGGAAGAGCGTCCTCTCTTGTCTTTTTCTATTCAAGCGTTTTCCCTCAATTTCAATCCAACAAATTGCACAAAACCACTTCCCACTTTTATTACCACCAGGAAAAGGCCCGTGCAACGCACCGATGAAAGTTTAGTGGCAAAAATATAATTAAGTAAAAATAAAATGTCAGAATTATAAAGAGAAAAAGTTTGTTGAAACTTTAGTGGCAAAATTAGTAAAAATAAAGTACCAAAACTATAAAGAGGAAAAGTTTGTTGAAACTTTAGTGGCAAAATTATAAAAAAGTAAAAATAAAGTGGTAAAATTATAAAAGAATAAAGAAAACTGGTTTTAAAGAAGTAAAAATGAATGTTTAGTGGCAAAAATATGAAAAAGTAAAAATAAAGAGGCAAAATTATAAAAAAGAAAAATTTGTTGAAACTTTAATGGCAAAATTAAGAAAAATAAAAATATAGTGTTAAAATTAGAAACATGAAAAGTTTCTGTTGAAACTTCCCATGTGCTTTTTATATATATATATATATATATATATATATATATATATATATATATATA